AAAAAAAAAAAAGCACCGGATTTGGGCTTCTCTAGCCAAGCGCAGAACAGCGGCATACTCCAAAAAGAAAAAAAGAAAAAAAAACACAGCTATTTTTTACATGACCGGGTGACCCGGTCACTGGACCGGCCCGGGCGTCCGGCCGGTCCGGACCGGCCAGTCACCGGAATCTTCCTAGAAAATAACCAAACTCAGATCAGTATCCACACACAGAACAACAATCTAATGACATAGAGAAGGGTTAGAACAGATGGCAGATTAGTGCTTCGTGTTTAGAGGCATCCAAGAAGGTTGCAGGCAACGATCAACAGCAAAATCAAACACAGATTCGCTTTGACCATATACCGCAAACTGATCAAAACACAAGAATAATTCTCGATCAGATCTGTTCCGAATCTTCCCACGAACACCAGCATGAGGTTAGCATGGCAAGAAACTCGAGTTCGCGCAAAAAAAAATAAAAAATTGCAGTGGGTACATTTTTCAGTGTGCAGGAAAAAGAACTAAAACTGCAGTTTGTAGGTTGTAGACCAGCAAATTGACTGTGTCCGGATGTATTAGACTGACGACACAGGGTCACTGCACAAACCATTCTGACACGATTGACAAACCCTTTTGGACTGACAACACCTGGACTGACTCCAGATCTGACACGACAAACTGGGACAAGACAGATAGACAGAACAGGAACCACAAATACAGCCTGTGCGCAGGCTCAAGACCCACGGTCAACTGCAAGCCGAAGTCGGAAGGAACACTCAAACCGTTGACAACATACTGACGACAAGCAGACTAACAAACACGCGCTGACCTCTAGACTGATTACAGACTAACAGACCTGACAGACTCGTTCTGACAGACTGGCGGACTGAAGTCAAAGGGACAAGTCGTCGAAACAAACTCACTCGATCAAGGTCTTGATTGGAGACTGTCGTCCGTCAAGTCTGACCGAAATACAGGTCGGTCAGCGTACAAACTGAATCCTCAATTTCCGCAAATGAATTGCCTAACCATTTTAAGCAACTTCCCTGCTGCTCCTCCCGCCCCTGGTCCTCCTCCAGCTCCGGCTCCTGCTACACGTGTGTGTGTGTGTGTGTGAGAGAGAGAGCGAGAGGGTACTTCCATCGATAGGATGAACAAAATCGAACGAATGTCGGTCTCCCGCTAGAACATGGAAATATACACCGCCACACTTTTTTTTTCTTCTTTTTTTTTTTGTGATGGAAATATACACCGCCACGCCACCTCCTTTTCCCCCCTCCCTCCCCCCAATTCAACCCCCCCATGTCCCCAGTCCCCCTCACTGCCCCGACTTCTTTCCACCGACTTCCCTCCACCTCCCTCCCTCCCCCAACTTCCCTCCCCATCTCGACTTTCGTGCCCCGACTTCCCTGCAGGTTGCCCTCTCTCTCTCTCTCTCTCTCTCTCTCTCTCTCTCTCTCTCTCTCTCTCGTCGTCTGTTTCACACCGCTTAACAACAACAGATGATGGATCCTCCTTCTCCCACTCCCCCTCCTGTTGCTTCTCCTGCCCCTGGTCCTCCTCCAGCTCCGGGTCGTGCTACACACGTGTGTGTGTGTGTGTGTGAGAGAGAGAGAGAGAGAGAGGGTACGTCCATCGATAGGATGAACAATATCGAACGAATGTCGGTCTCCCGCTAGAACATGGAAATATACACTGCCACACTTTTTTTTTCTTCTTTTTTTTTTTGTGATGGAAATATACACCACCACGCAACCTCCTTTTCCCCCCTCCCTCCCCCCGATTCAACCCCCCC